CTTGGTAAAAACGTATAAGACCATTATATAATCAACTACATTTAAAAACCAAAATTTAAGTATTGAAAAAGTATATTCTGTTTCTAATTTAACGAACCAGAAGTGTTTAAGTTGGGTAGATAAGGAAAATTGGTGTACCGTTAGCGCATTGTGGATCAAACACTTTCCATAGCCATTTGTTAAAACTTTTAATAAACTTACAGAGTATAATTTTTTCCCTCTTATTCTACTAATTTTTTTCGATGTCAATATTGTGTCATTGCGTACATCGAAAGGTTTATCAGCTGTCCAGTGTTCAGCTGTTTATCAGCTGTTCAGTGAAAACAAGACACAATTTTTAATAAATTGTCAGAACTGTCTGCTATCTTACAGCAAATGCTATTCTTACTTTTCAACCGACTTCAAAAAAGGAGGAGGTTCTCAATTAGGTTGGTTTTTTATGTTTGTTACGTCACAAGTCCGTTGTTTATGAACCGAAGTTAAATATTATCTTTAATTGGATTCAGTTTAGCTCCCATGTGACCCCATATTAATTTCATTGCTGGTGGACCTTCGACTCCTGAGGTAAGTAATGTACGTTTGTAGGGACTGCTCAAAATCAAACTTAAAACGTACAGTAAATGAAATATGGGAAGTCGGTTTTGTTTTTGGTTAATGAAATTGTCATTATAAATAAACTTCAGCTTTTGTTACGCAAAGGACCAAGCTCGGGTAAGCTTATGTAATGTTTTGATGGCTCGGATTTTTTTCTCGTCGAAGACTCATCAATTCTTTCGGTAACGCACCAATTACTTTATTCGACATCCTTTTGGTAATGAACGATTCGATTGCGCAAGTAACTTGATACCAGTTTTGACCTGAATTCGAGCCGCTTATTCTTTTATTGGAAAGTAGAAAAGACGAGCGTACAATAAAAAACTCTTGTTTGCCATCGTGTTTTTTTTTTTTCATATAGCATCTGAGTCATGCATTTTATTGTGAAAAATCAATCTGTAAGGGACTCGTTAAAGGTTTTAGACAAATAAATGATTTGTCAGAGTTATTTCACTTATACAGAGTAAAGTATTTTCAAAATCTCGAAGAAATGCCTTCATCCACAGGCAAAGATATAAAATCATGACATTCTGTTTAGATAGGGCCACGCAGCAGCCTCGGCTGTTGCACGAATGGGCAGGCCCGTCCGGGTAAGTACCACGACCTCACAGAAGACCGGCGTAAAGTGGAAGTATGACAAATACTTTCGCGTTTCGTCTGGTGAGTGAGGTAGCCGGAGCCCAATTTTCAAAAGGTTGTCAACGCATCTGTAACCCTCGAGTGTAGCAGATGTCCATGGGCGGCGGTATTCACTTAACATCAGGTGAACCGTCTGCTCGTTTGACAACTTTTCGCATAAAAAAAAAAAAAAAAAAAAAAAAAAAGATCGTTTTATAATTATCGCGATCAAGTCAATATGTTGATAACTAATTTTGTATCCGATTATATAATGGTCTTTTACGTTTACCGTGGAATGTTCAATAGTTTAAAAGCGTTGACAAACTTAAAATCTGATGAGTGATGAAAAGGAAGTGGCCTTAATTCCGTTTAGCTCTAGTTGACTTTAAAAGTATTTTAAATCGCCATCAACAGTTTAATTTACGGTTGGCGGTGCTTTATTTCCTATAATACTTTTTGTATGTTGATACAAAAGTGTATACCTACAAAAAGTATATAAATATGATACATTATACGTATTCTGTATACGAAAGAAAAACAGTAACAGGAAGAAAACTTATTTAAAATTAAAGCCTTTTTATTAAACGTAATTTCTTCCAGGTAATGTAACTAATTCTACTAACTAGCACTTTTATATTATATATATAATTAACTGATATTTCATGTCCACTTGCGAAACCATTTATGAGGCGTGGTTTTCAGCATTGGTCTAATCATTTATGTTCCCTATTGCAATTTGATGCGCGCTGCGTTCTACACACTTTCTATGCGATCGATAAACATAATGCATTATGTGAATCTAGCAAATTGTAATCTAATTTATACTTAAATACAAAAGAAGTGTGAAATTTATTTAATTTAACCATTTGAAAATATCCCTCGATAACTAATTATGTATCATATTCAGAAATTTATTTAATATTTGGTTTAAGACACTTTTGAAATTTTTGTATTCGAGTTAATTTTTTTAACTTTTAAACGAGATTATGTAACATTATATGGAGTCTTGCAATCATGGTTAGAGTATCCCGTTTGTGACATAACTCCTACTGGTTTGCGGTATGAATTAACTAATATTCCTCTTATACAGTTGCGTAAATGATGCACTTATAATAAATTTTAGAGTTTATTACTTATTATTTAATAGTTTATCATGATAGTTTTCCTGTTTGGAGTAGTATGAAAGCTATAAATACTGGTGAAATAATTCATTTGTAATTTAAAATTAATGTTCAAACCATCTACAAGTAAGGTCTACTACATGGTAAGGTATGGTTGTTTTTGTCAAGGAATACGTCATGAATACCGGGCGCCCAAGAATACCAGGTTACGTCGAACTAGAACCGACTAAAACCTCTAGGTGGTCGCATACAGCTCTGTTTAGAGGTCACAGGACTTGCTTGGTTAAGATAGCAAGTATGCTAAAACCAACATTATAATGACTAAATCCATACTAATATTATAAATGCGAAAGTAACTCTGTCTGTCTGTCTCGCTTTCACTCCAAAACTACTGAACCGATTTAAATGAATTTCGGTACACAGACAGTCTAGAGCCTGAGAAAGGACTAGGCTATTTTTTATTGGAAAAAGTGTTGTTAAGGGCTTCAACGCGAGCGAAACCGCGGGCGAAAAGCTAGTGAACAATGAAAAATACAAAGAAAACATTGGAGTATTACAACAATAGTGAAACCGCAAAGTCAACCTTCCTGAGTCATATTATTTTTGCAATCTTCGGCTTGCCAAAAATCACTATACGCAACATCTATTACACAACACACCAAGAATAAATTATACAGCCTTTTAGGAAAATCCATCGTACGAAATACACAACGTGAATTTCTGCAATTTTGAACCTCTTCAACACTTATTAGAGTATACTTCATCACAGTGGAACATGCTAATTTATTTCATATCCATTTACAATCATCCAGTTATTAGGAAAGTCTTTCGATGCGTATTCAATTATTAAGAAATTTTGAGACATGACTCTTATAGATTAATAGCCTATATTTATAGTCTAGTCAGGAAAATATATGTATCTTAATGCGTTTAAGACTTACTGAGAACCAATTTAAATGAAAAAAAATAGAAACCATTTTTAATTAGCATTTTAAGAAAACGTCTGAAACACTTCTTTTTTTGTTTATGGTCATATTATAATATCTACTAACACATGAGGCCTTCGGAGTTGGATCACTACTTAGTTAATATATAAAATGGAGGGAAAGTTCCTTTTCAATAATACCTGAAAAAGTGGGTGTTAATTATAATTCGGTTTTAATACCGAATTTTTTGCCTATTATATAGACATCATTATCAAAGTTTAATAACATGACACATTCAGGAAAATTAATAAAATTTAATTTTACTAAAATTATTCTAGCATCCTATAAGAGTTGAATAAAAGTATGAATCAACTTTCCCTCATATTTTTATTTAATTTAGCTCATAACGTGCTCTAAAATAATCAAATAAATAAATATCAGCAGTTGCCGTCGGTCTTTAGCTGATGTATACTATTCCCAGCGCGACTGTACCTCTCAGCTGACGGTTACGCAATGCGACTTTCACCGTCCGGCGCCGGCGCATGACGATCAATTTGACCGCACAAATGTACAGGCCGCGCAAAACTTATATACGCCTGAGCGTAGTTGGGCCCGCGTTGTAGTTCCTAGCGTGTACAATCGAGTGCAAAAATTTTGTATAGCTTAGTAGAACTATCACATTTCTAAAATTATGCTGTCCAAGGGCTGTTTATAGAGGAACTATGTTGACGAATTTAAATTTTGCGCGCGGCCACAAAATTGTTTTGTGCATATCTGTACATGATATAGCGCACACGCAACAGAGATGTCAACAGCAAGAAGATTAAGCGTAACGACTGGTTTTCAAACATTAAAAAAAATAACGACCCCATTTAATGAAATCTTTCACGAGGATTTCTATTGTTATTACCGTACGGTGCATATTATTTTATTTTCGGTGCTAATGTTTTCATTTATTTCGAACTTTTTACAAAGAGTTGTTTAGAGTTAGAGAAAACTAAATTTATTTTTTAGCAATTTAATATAACGTTTAGCTAGATTTTACTATGCTATATGTAGATATCTCATCGGCAAAGAAAGCAAATATATTGAACAATGTTTCTTTAGTTTTGGCATAAATATTAAATAACACAAATAAAATGCATTAACGGAGGATATTACACAAAGAATAATTCGTCACTTACCTTAGTTACCTGTAGTTAAAGTAGAAAACTATGTTTATTTACAAATTAGTGTGTTAGAAGCGCATAAAATATACAATAAATAGTACATGTAAAGATGTGAGAAAGCAAGACATAGTTAGAATAGAGCGAAATGAAAATATATCCTTTATAGATACATAATTACATCTTATATACAATATACGCAAACTATACCTGTTTGTTCATTCGCAGCTAAAATTAAAAAAGGAGAAAATATCTTGAATGTTCTATCTATGTCTTGCCGAATGACCACATCTCTGCTCTGTTAGTGCCACAATGAATTTGAGTCTTGACGTATTGAAAAGATCGCCGTCTGTCACACTATTAATTTATAAACACAAGAGAAAATTTCTTCCATTCGCATTTAACTAATAAACCATTCAAATCAATATGGTATTATAATTGTTCAAAGGCTTAAGATTCACCGAAGCCATTCGTTTTCTTAACACGCGTTGAGCAAAATAGTAAACCTATAATATTATATAGCTCTCGTGTCAAAGGTAAAACTAAAAATCGTAACGTCATGAAATTTTGTGCTAATTTCTAGCGTGACAGCGCGACGTCGCATCAACCACAACTGCAACTCGCTTAAGTGAGCACTTACTTTCGTCATTGATAACGGGGCCAAAGCTTAGTCCCTCGCTCGAAGAATAATCTAGGTTATTCGAGTCTTGAACTCCCAAGATTCCGGCCTTAGAGTTTCTATGGCAGCACCCTTTTAACAAGCCTCCACAAGAGCCATCCAACAGGCCGCCGACCATCCAGCAGTACATAAAGAACTCGCAGGTTCCACCTTGGAAGCACTTATCGTCCTGTCTATCCAATGTCAGCTCTTGGGCCTTTTCATTTATAACTTCTGTCTGCGCAGCGCTCGCCTGCGCACTACTGTCTAATAGGCGGCCTTTCCTTAATCTATTTGTACTATGTACGTTTGTACTATATTTAATTTCTCTTAAAATCTCACTGATTCTCGACATTTGCGCGTCGGATATCGGTTTGAACTTTGGTAACACAGCCATTTCTGTCGCGTTGGGATATAGGTACAGATCGTGTCTTTTCAAATACTGAGCGTTTTTCGTTATTTCCGTCTGTATGAACATTGGCTTTTCCAGTTGCACTGGTGTTCCGGATTTTTTTATCTTTAACTCAAATCCCTTTGCGTCGTATCGAGCTCGATGTGGGTCATTGGCATCTGTTCGAAATTAAAAAATATATGTAGTTGAATATGATTTTTACAATGCACAAGTTAGGAAATAACAGATTTGTAGGAAAAGAGTAGCGGAATATTATACGCTCTACTATTATACAACTTATACCTACGTGTTAGATTTGTATATTTAGATATTTAAATCTAAACAGATATAAATAAACACATGATATAGAAATAAAAAAAGACATTTTTCCAAGTCCTTTTTTTTACTTAACTTTATTTTTAACCCAGAAAATAATACCTAATACCTGTGCTGTGTGAGATTTCACTAACAAGATCGTTACGGACACAAATTACAAAACTGGACTTAATTTGTACTCAAAGTACAGAAAAGACTAGACATTAAACATTTAGCACTACAAAGCGTACGGCAGATGTCACCTTTGAAACTTAATTGAAACTTAAATTTTATAGCGATAGATCGAATTATTTATCATGTATATGCTTCCTGTTATTAGAGCATAGTCTCTCACAAACTTATCTAGCTAGCTTTCCACCAAACTAAACATCGCATTTTTAAAGGAAGTAAAAAGCAACGTATGTTTAAATTTGCAATCGATTTTAAATACATCATAAATCACGTTGCAGGCAGCGGATATTAGAATTAGCTGCTTTAACCAGTAGGATCGCATTAGATACCTAAAACTTCGGAAAAGCAGTATTAGTTCCTTATTTAAGACAACTTTCACGTAAGTCGCACTTCCTCTACTCGAGATGTATGTGACGACACGATTAGACAAAATTGATTTCTTTATTCAAATATTTTTACGTTATATTTATATGATATCAAAAGAAATTAACTAATTATATGATTTGATGTACGTTATAACCGATTGGAAAAATAATTGGTTAATTTGTTTTAAATTCATATTACAAGCGAAGTAAACCAAATAAGATTTATATTATAATATAAACAATCTTATTGTTAATACAATTAAATAATATTATAAAAATGTGACATGGTATCAGACACTAATACCTAAATATTAGAAGAATTTTAATTTCTTGTTACTTTTCTGCAGAATGATAGTTTGTTACTGGAGTCCTGACATTGTCCTAACCTACCAAAAAATTTAAATCATATATATTTTACATCGTGATCCTTTCATAATCAAAAAAAATCACCTGAAAAGCTTAAATAAATGAAGAATATAAGGTGAAGGGATAGAAGAGAAGATAATGTTTTTAAGAATTCAAAGAGCTTCCCTCAACAGGCTTTACTTTTAAATCCATATTTGTAATGGCATTTCAATGAATACCTTTATAAATCGTCGAACGATAACCTTAACATCTATAAAGGCGCGTTATTGTTACTTTAAGTTATGTAAACGTTCAATATTATATGTCCGTTATAGAGTGGGAAGTAGCGTCGACAAAAACGTCCTAACGTAGGTGAAATGAAAACGATAATTTATTCATTGCTACATTGGGTTTTTTACATCGACCCAAAATCAACAGCAACACTGTTGCAACTTTTCTCTATTTAAAGAATGCCTTTAATTTTTTTTTAAATAAATCTAATTAAAATAATCTAAATGTCGTCATTAAATTCTAAATTACATATTATAATGTCATATTTAATCACAGTTATAATTTGAGTAGCAAAATTATTAACAATAGATACATGTTTTTGTGTTATTCGTTCAAAAATAAAGTATTTAATTATCTCTTTTTATGTAGAAGTTCAATAGTCAAGTTTAAGTAAGCAAACGTATGCCAAGTAAAGTGTTTTATTAAAATAGAATGAACACAAAAATATCTATTTACGCTTTATTACAATACAACTTCTAAAGAAAAAGGTTGGGAATACAATTCATTTTGAACCAGTTTATTTCCTCTTTTTAAGTGAGACTCATGGATAAACTCCAGGAATTAAGTGTTAATTATATTTAAACAAAAGCCAGTAAGAAATATAATATCAAGTTACTAATTCAATCTCGTATCATGTAATTACTTTGACGGTAAGTACTGCTAGTTACATACCCCATTGTCAATAAATGATTTATCTTTAAATATTAACTGAAACATAATGCATGTTGATGCTAAGGGTACATTTATAAAAAAATATTTGGCAAAATCAATATATGTGTTAAACATTTTATACATGAAATTTGGGAGCAATTGGCTCGGTTTAATGTTCTTTTACTAAAGCTTATTTAGTCAATGTATGTGAGAGTACTATCGGTAATTAATGGTTTGACTTTCAATATTATATATAACTATAAAGGGGCAAAGAACAAAATTTTTCAAAGATAGTGTCATATTAACAAACTTTCAAACTATATACTATAGCAGGCGGTTCATTAGATAAAAGATCACCTCTAACCATGGATGTTCACAACACCCCTAACATTACAGTTGCGTTGCCCACTCTTAAGAGTTTTCGTTAATATTAAAAGACATTACGAGACAAAAACCCATATACCCAACAAAGTATGTACATAAATGTAAGCACCAATACACTCTGAACAAGTCGGTACCACATAGGAAGCACCAGCTTTCAATTAAAAAAAGAACGATCAAAATTGGTTCATTCCGTCGTTCAAGTTCTGAGGTAACAAAGTTTGTTAAACAAACATTAAAAAAAATACAGTCGGATTGAGAACGTCCTACGTTTTGAAGAAGGTTGAAAAGGACTTTAACAGTAGATTGTTCGCCCCGACTTAAGTAAAATTTAGTTGTTACATTGCAATGACTTACATGTTTTTTTTTTTTTTTATTTTATTTTTTTTAATGACTTACATGTTAACATATTATGCAGAAATGTATGCATCTTTTCTGTCGACTTGACCACTTGATTTTGACACACGTATTAAGATTTCTTACGTTTATGCACTAAATAAAATTACTTTTCTTTTTTTTTTTTCTAAACCACTGCCCTTACATTAGGATGAATTATCCAGTATTGTAAGGACGTTTATATACATAAATTTCACGATGAAAAACACTCAGATTCGAAACAGTTTTCTGTGAGTCACACAAATAGTAGTCCCGTCTGAGAATCGAACACGCGAGCCCCGTCACCGAAGCCAAATACCTAGCAAATGCAACAAGTAACATTAGGAATGTACATGTTACCTCGAAAACGTAGTCATGGAATAAAATTTTCAAATTCGAATTAAAGTAAGGGTTGTGAATAGAAAAATGATGATTGCGCTGATTTGGATGCGCCCAGATGCTCTATCCAACTGAGCTAAGCGCTTGTCATTCGGTTGCTGAAAACAGATTTTACCGCTTTTTAACATCAGTATATATTTTTTTCTGTTAACGTTACGTGTTTTACTTTCACGGTTCACACTTCCTATACATTACAGGTTGTACAATCACGTAATACCGTACCATTACTAGTATCGTACAATTACAACTATTACTTATTTCCAGTCGATTGATATTGAGGTATACAAGTTCAAATGTGTATAAAATTATAAACAGGTGTAATGTGTAAAATTATAAAGTTTTAAGTAATCAGTCCACTTTTCTTTTTTGTCTTTGGAATAAATTTAAATACAACCAGATGTTCTATTACAAAATTCGAAATGTGCTAAGACCCATTCAAAGTTGAGAATATGGCTAATGTTTATTTTATTTTATAATATATTAACTATCATAGTTATTAAAAAAATAACATCATAAAAAACCACAATTTTCTTATTAGTTTCTTCTACTACCACGAGACAAATAAATAATTATAAAGCTTCTGAGTTTTCATTTGAGATTTTTGTATCCCTTTTCTTTCTGTACTTGTTGCAGAAGCAAAAACAAATCACTACGTCCCAATTTTTATTTCAAGTACGATACGTAATTATCGTAAACGTGTAACGTTGGTGACACTGTCGTCAAAAACATGAGGCAGAGATTCTTTTTATTTTATTTTAAGTCACTGCTGTATAAATTTGTATAGTCAATCTATTTTTAATGCTGAAAAAATCAATAAATCATTTAATCGGTCATGGTTTAAAGATATATATATATGTGTTATATATATATATATATATATATATATATATGTGATATATATATAATTAATCTTTAAACCATACATAACATAGTCATTGACACAATGACGCAAGAGGGAGACAGAAATAGTGGATTTGTTAAAATAACAGAGATGAACGCATGTTTTCGTGCGCGGTCGCACGATACCTCGCGTGACAGTGAAATCTCTTTTATTTTTACTGATAAATCGTTTCCTGATATCTAGATGGCGGTATGCAGCAATTACAGTAGCAAAGTAAATTTCTCAAAAAATTCATCGAAATAATAATATAGATAATAATTTAATAAAGTGGACATATCAGTGATCGTAAAACTCTATTTACGGTCTTTGATGTTTACTTTACATTTAGCCGTTCCTTTTTATATTTGATGTCTGCAATAAAAATGTAGCTAAAAGTAAAAAAAAGAAACCAATTTTATTTACGATGCAACAAAAGTAAGGAAAAAAATTCTAAATTCCTTAAGTTTCTCTCGAATGCTCACCATTTGATAGCAAAATTGTACTTTTTAGAAGCAACGGGAACCGGATTTGTTGAAATCCGTGGTCATCGAACCCTACTGCATATATGCAGTTTAACGGGACCACGGAATAAGTAACACGACTTAACAAACAGAATTACGCAACGACAGGCATGTTTCCAAACCTTTTACAGTTAGTTGTGAATGTTAAACAGATAGATGTGTATTTCTTTGTTATAGCTGTTTGAAATAAAAGATTTTTTCTGCATTCACAAAAAGGGCCTCGCAACAGCTTTTGCTGTTGCACGAATGGGAAAGCTCGCCGTATCACGGTCACACAGAAGACCGATGTGA